TTTTTTTTTTTTTTTTTTTTACAGTATTTTAGTAGATTTTTTCTAGATTTACATAGATTTTTATCATCACTTTTTGGAGCCATTTGTGTCATCCAAAATGTCAGTTTCCATTTAAATATGTTTAGCCTTCACCTTCATGTTAACATAAAAATTTAGCAAATATTATTCACTGTTTTTTATCTTGTATAATTTTTGTTGTCTAAACTAAATTTAAATCTAAACTGTTAGACCTGTTTTTGATCATTCTTTGATTGTTTTGAAAATAAATCCATTGTTTGGATAATTCAATAGAAATTTGAATTAAGGAAATTTGACCAGATTTAAATCTCAAAGAATCCAACTTTTAGAAGCAAATTTACTTAAAACAATAATTGTTTATCTCATACAGTATTAATCAATGTATATTGAATTAGGGAATTATCTTCATTAGATCATCACAAACAGCATTTGACTGATGTTTAAGCTAATAAGAGCCTATGGCCAGAGTGCAGAAAACCAGATATTGTTGTTATAACTTGGGTCAAGGTTGATCCAAGCGATGATATTCATCCCTTTCATCCACCTGTTCATTGACTTGGTGTACTATATCCGTATGCTTTTTATATTGTTTCAGAATCCAGCCAGTATGCACATTATGTGTTCAGCACGTTTGACAGAGACAACAATGGATCCATTAGCTTTGAAGTAAATTTGCTTTCATGTGGTCCTGGATTATAAATATTGCAAGCTTTTTTTATAACGTGACATTATATGCTGGTCCATAGAGAGAATAAATAAAACATAATTAGTTTCATTGAAAATATGTATCTTGTGGTAGGTCATGTGTAGTTGGTTACTAGATTTAAAGATTTGAGAGCGCTCATTTTTCCTTTGGTCAGGGGATTGTGACGCCAGTAGATTAATTATACTAAAGATTGTATCATCTCTTTTTTGTAAGCTTAAATTACTTGTTATACATAACCGTGGCTTCTTTTTTATGTACAGATTAAAAGCTGTAAATCTTAATATAATTTAACAATAATTTGACAGAAAAAAAAAGGCAGATGGCAATTTTTGACAACTGCTATTATATTTTTTTCTCTCTCCAGGAGTTTGTGGTTGGTCTATCAGTATTGTCTCGAGGCTCCTTGCAGGAGAAACTCCAGTGGGCTTTCTCTCTGTATGACATCAATAACGATGGTGTGATTTCAAAAGATGAAATGACGAGTATTATAACAGCTATATATGATCTCATGGGAAGGTGTTCGGAGCCATTTGTTGATGAAAATACAATACGAGATCATGTGGACAGAGTGTTTCAGGTAATTTTGAATTCTGCCAGGCTGTTATCTATATTTTTATTTCAATAGAAGCTTTTATTGATCTGCACAGTCACATATAAAAGATCGTGCTTGCCTTGTTCCAGGCCATATCAGTTACTGGCATATTTTGACTCTTTGACTCTTTTTTTTTTTAATTTCATCATGTTAATAGAGGACCTGGTTATAACAAACAGGCTATGAATAGAAAAATGTTGGGCATATTGATCTTTGATTTAATCTCATAGTTAATACCTGCACAAGATCGTGTAACTAAGTAATGCTCTAGCTTATGTTTCTTTAATGCAAAAAAGGGGGGTTATTGATTGCAAATTTAATTTTGTTCTCATAACTAGTAGCTAGATTGCAGACTTGCATGAAAGTTCCATTGTTCTACTCTTCATTGAAAATATGACACAGCCAAAAAACTTCTGCTTTGATGAATAATTGTTATGTTTTCAAGGTTTTTTTCTGTGGAGAAATGAAATCTATAAAAGTTTTGAAGGCTGTTTTTAATAATAGAATATTACTATTAGTAAAAAGTATTCTTATTTTTTAATTGTTTGATTAAGATAAGAAAATACTTAAAAGATTCAGATGCCAAAGTGGACTTTTTGTGGTATATTCTATCAACATTTTGGCATAGTTTGCTAGGTTAACCTAATGACTCGGACACATTGGAACACGAGTCAGTAAAATGTGTTGTTAAATTTCTTTCTATAATATGGTAATTGACACACAAAATCAGTTGCTTTTATACATAGCACTATTAGTTTATTTATTTATTTACCTTCATCAGATACACTATTACTGTCACATGCATTCATGGGTAAAAAATTATCCCCATTGTACATCCAAAATTATTCCTTTTGTGTTGTTTTTTTAATTAACCAGAAAATGGACCTGAACAAAGATGGTTTTATCTCTATGGATGAGTTCATGGAAGCTTGCAGAGGGGTAAGCATTATCATTTTTGTCATTATTAGTAAAACATAAAAAGCTGGTGTCATAACTTTGCATGATGGCTACATTTCCTTATAGTACCCTAGGGTATTGAGCAAGACAGACTGACAGCGAAAACGGGGCAAATGCATGTAAACTCTGTGGATTGGATTGAAGATAAAATAAATTTGGAGAAGATGTTGTGCAAATAGTTTTCCATCTCTCTGTTATTCTTATATTGTATTGAGATTTAAAATAACTATGATATCCCATTTGTTGGACTCATCACTTATAGATCTGGTTATCTATGTCAGACAGTAGGTACCAGAGAGCGGTGCTGGAGGGGTGATATTGGTAATTGTTCCATCAGTACAGGTCCCCAGAGTACGCTGCATTAGTCTTCTGATAGTGCTTCAAGGCTTTATAATCTATAATGTATCCCTTTTGGTCTGCTCTTGGATAAGGTCTAACAACTGTGTACAATGTTTGCCAATGGGAACCAAAGAGAACATTTTGGTATGGCTTTTATTGATAGTATAACTTGACTAGTTATCTCTCTGTTATTTGTGCCAGTGAAAGTTTACAGAATCCTACAGAAATGTTTGACTGAATTTGTTTTAATGTCTCAGTGTTAAGCATACTAGTCATATGAGAGAATATTGATGGACAGAAATTTTGTAATTTTTTGAAAACGGGATGTGAACTGAGTTCAATCAAGCTTATTATTTAAGACAGACCTTTTATTTAGAACATTATGGATCAAGCACAATTTGCATATGAAATATAGCACTTTTACATAAAAAAAGATTGATGACAGTAATGAACTTTTTACAAAAAAACTCATAAAGAAACTCAACTGGCCTGTTATCAAAACTTAGCTCACTCTGGGGGAGTTTGAAGAAGCTAAGGAGATATCTGTAATCAGTCTAATATAAGCAAAGTCTACAGTTATGTGGTAATTTACTTCTCCTGTCACTTTTCAAGAATCAATTGAATTTGTATTGACTTTTGCTTTGCTCTGCAGGGAAGCAATCTTTCAGTAATATAATTAGGAGGCAGTCAAAATCTAGTTATTGGTGACCTCTGATGGAGGGCATTTTTTTTTTTAATTCTACAGTGGTAGGTCTAGCCTGACCAAGTATTGTGTTAATTTAACATTTCATTTTGAATCAAGTATGTGTGTGTGTGTGTTGCAATAAAGGAAAAAAGTATATTGTGTTACATCATACATATGTGACAGGGGTATACACTTAAAGGCAGCAAGAGAATCCATTGGCTGCAATATGACCGTCACATGTTAAGAACTCAACAAAGCATTAAGTCTGAGCCAGGTACACACAAAGTTTGGTGGCAATTGTAAACGTGTTTTAGTTTCTGGTAAATAGAATGTATTTGGTGATCAGAGAAAGATTTCTGAGGGGGATAGCAGGTCTTTTATCAAAAAATAGTCTTTTATCAAAAAATATTTTCTTCTGGTCTTTAACAGGAATACTATTAACAGTCAAACTGATGTGCTTTGTATTTAAGGGTTTTTTTAACCAAAACATGATTTTTTTTAAAACGTGGAATAAATATAGAAAGGAATGTTTTACAAGTTATTGTTTTAAAATTGCCATATGGTACATCAGTTTTACTAATGTGCTCAGTCATGCACAGTCTTTTATATTCCTGTTTTGGTAGGTAAAAGTTGTTCAGACAATCACTTTCACCACACTCTGGAAAGACCACAGGAACACTGCTGTTTGCATTCTTTATTACTCAGGGAATAGGCTTGCATTCCTTTATTACTTAGTATACACGTCATTTTTGTTCAACAGGAAATTAAATTATAAGAGCATACCATCTTTTTCTTTTGAGTATCATTAAATTGTTCACTTACATAACTTATTTAATAAAGAATTCTATTTTATGAGAACCTAAAGTGCCTTCAGAGATGACTGTGACTAGAGTAGAAAAACCCAAATATGCAGCAGTTTTCTAAAAATACAGTTTCTCACACCTGCTCCAGAGATTGGCAAAGTCGTTAACATCCTGCTGCTTGTATGTAATGCTGAAATATTTGTCAGATAACAATATTTATGACCCTGCTTATGTAGTTTTTATGTCATAGATACATTTATATTTATGCATTTCCAGGGTGATGGAGGTTTCTTCGTTGCTATAATTGGTAACATATATGCGAGCTATCAGCGTGCACGAAATCCAAATGTATTCTTTGCTGTTCCTGTCATGTAATATAATTAAGCTATATATAGCAATCTTCTAAAACCAGGCTTTGCATCCATGGGGTGTATTTGCTGAGAACTGTTTCCAAAACAAAAGCATCCTTTTGTTTTCCCAAAAGTTATGCAACGTCCAGATGAATTAAAGCTGTACTAGTTCAAACATGTATGGAACCACTGTGTAAAATGCTACATAATATAATGAGAATACATCTCTAAACATCTTTCTTTGTTAGATTTTGTTTTTATGTGACTGTTATTCTGTTATTTTCTGGTTCAGTTTGGCAATTTTTCACCATTTGACGAGTTTCTACTGCTGCACTGTTTGCCCATTTAATGCAGGCATTGGTGTCTGATTGACAGTCCACTTCAGTACAACATGTTCTTGTGTGTACCAATACATAATTCAGTTTATCTGATCAATGTAACGGTATAGAGCTAATGGTACCTCTCAAACAAGATTGGTGTATAAGAACTCGGTGGAAGGCATTTTTATGTTATTGGCTCAGAATGTTTTACCAGTATGACAGCTTTACAGGAAGGTTTCTAAATATAAGACTCTCGCAAGACGTGTATCGATTGTCTTGTGTAAAATATCTTGTTAGGAACTTTATTGAATACAATCCTTATGTTATTATGTGTAATTTCCAAAGCAAAGGTTTGAAACACTGTATTTGGATATGTTATTTTTCATTTTGATATCATTTTCTTGTTTGCTCTCTGTTAATCTCCTGCATATGATTTAGAAATGAGTTCTTACTATATTGTTATATTTCATGTTGTCTCAAATTTTTTTTATTACATGTACTAGCAAGTGCAGTATTTTGTCTAGGTCTGCCCAACTACTGCATGCAATTATGAGCATATATGATTAACAGTTCTGAACATTCCAATGTAATTTGGTAAAAATGTCTTGTTGTTACGGAGGCCTGAATCATGAATATTGCATTTTTTATTGACAAAATGCTATATACAGTAATTCCAAACTTCGATCAATTTAAACCTTCTTGTATACTTTAGTAAAGTGAATGTATATGACATTGTGCCAGTGGTGATTTTGCCAAAGTAAGGTGCCTTGAAACAATTCATTTTCTACAAATTCTTTCAATTAGATTTGTATTTTGCCTTGCCTTTTGCGATTTTGCCTGCAATATTGGACAGCACATAGGCAGCAAAACTGACCATCTCAGAAAGGAAAAATGTTTATTGCGGCAGCATGTTTGTAAATTAGAAAAAGTCTGATTCACCATCCCAGCACACCACTTGCATCAGATGCATGCACATTCAAATGAGTTAATTTGTCTTGTGAATGTTGTTTGCTTTCCGTTTACTTTTCTCTCCAAGTGAAGCATGCTGATTTTTGTGTTGTTGTTGTTTTTTTCCCCATATAGGACAAGGATGTGGTGGATGACTTAGTTAAGAAGCTTACCTCGTCTTTAATTGCCATGCCAGCCAAGATCCCTGCTACTTTACCACATAAGTACATCTAAACCTACAGGGCAGATTTAATATTCCTCTACCTGTACAGTTGAAACTTTCTTGAAGTTGAACGAATTAAGAATTTTTTTTACAAATATTCCATTATGTCTTCCAAGGTAGTATTTGAGATATTGAATAATTTAAAAGTTGTTCTTTTGTAAAATTTAAGGTACTGTTAAAGGTAATATTTTGATACTCTTTAAATGTCTTCCAAATAAGGAATGTTGATGGTGCCACATGTATGTTTGCAGTCCAATTTACTACATATTGTAATAAGACATCGAAAATAACGATAAGAGAGTGTATTTTGTAATGAACGGAATTAAGAGTGAACTTAAAAACCCAAACCTTTATACTTGGTAAAATATGCAAAGAACAGTTTGTACCTTAATTAAGGTATAGGCTAAATGTATTTGCTAAGGTTTTTCTTGCCAAACTAAATTCTTTTTTTAGATTTTATGGGCTGCTTTAAAGATGTACTGCAGCATGTTAAGCATAGCCATGTGGCTTTCAAATAAAGCACTTTTTCTGTTGTGGACCATGTGTAATTCAAGATTTTCAACCCAAGCATTGGGCTGGTCAGGGTAAATATTCATATCAGTCTTAAGATATTCCAACAGGCTTGTGTTTAAAAAAATTATTTGCAGAATCTTTGTGACCCATTCACAGAAAGTGTGCTTTTTATGTAAAACATCAGTATTGTAGTTCAAAAAAAGTTTCACACACAATATATCTTTTTTTTATTTTTTTTTAAATTTTTTTTTATATTTTTGGGAGGGGGCCAATCTTTATGTCTAGCTATCCTGCTTTATTATTGATCATTGACTTAATTAAGCTACTGCAGTCTTGAAGGGCAGAGGTTGGGGAAAAGAAATGATGTGATACGGTAAAAACTGGCATAATTATATGCATAGTTTGTTTGCACAATAATCCTAATTTTTGTCTTCCTTAAAATTTGGAATTTAACGTTTAAGTAAATTACAGAAAGCATAAATTAGTTTTGTATTTGGTTGATAAGATATCAACTGGTTGAAGTGTTCTTTTTCTGTTTAAAATGGCCATAATTATTTCAAAATTAAGTTGGACAGTAGGAGGTTAGCTTGTTGCTAATTTTTACTGTAGCATATATAGTTGTGTGACTTATAACTGAATCTGTATGTGCATAGGTTGTGCCCACTTGATTGTGTGTGCATGCATCACTTAACATAGCATATTTGCCTTCAATAGTACTAGTAACTAGGAACAGTAGACATTGGTGACAGCTGTATGCTTTGCATCTTTCTAACTGATGTGATGCTTATATACACGTACTTATTAGCAGTGGCTGACAGAAATTGATGCAGCTCATTATTTTTGGTACAGCTACGTGTAGTTCGTAGCTCCCTTGTGTGCTTTTGCAGGCTGCCAAGTCCGTGCACTCTTGATGCCAAATTGTTAGTGCTTTTTCCACTACATATTGATTATTATGCTGTGCTGCACTGTGCTGTTGGTTCAGTCCATGCACACAGGAAGTTGGTAATGCTCATAGATGTAATTGTTAACACTAATAGAACTTGTGGTTCCAGAAAGTGGATTTGTTTGAAATCATTTTTTTTTCACTTTTCTGTTTTTTCTCTTAATTTTAGTAGGATAAGTACTAATGAAAAACAATTGAGTGAACACACTCATTTTTCCCCCATATCTAGTGTAGAATAGCAACTAGACTATATTTTAGTGTATTTGAATATATACCAGAAAATCAAATTATTTGTTACTTGCCATGTAGTCATAATAACTGATAATATGATATAACTTTTACCAGTTAAAATGAAAGCCCCGGCATTTAGATATGGGGCATGTAATCGGTCCGTTTTTATAAACATTGGAGAAGCATTGGATAATATTGGGAATACTTTTGTGAACTGACAAATGCCCAGGTACCTCCCTGTAGCCTAATGCATTTTCTGCATGGAAACATTATGGGACTCTATAATGGCCTGTACATGTAGCACAATTCCTGTGAGATCTCATACGGTTCTAAATCTCATTATTTATTTAGTATTTTCATGCTTATTTGACTGTAAAAGTAGGAGGGAAGAGGTCAGGCTATTTTTTAGGCAAGTGGCACTAAGTTGGAATACACAAATTTAGATAGAAATGATGAAAAGAAATATGATGTGAAAAAAAATGACATCTCTTTTATATCTTTACATTAATGGGAACTTTTAAATGTCTTTTTAATGTGTCAGTAACCAAATATTATTTAGGGGAATAAGAAATGACTTGGAAAATTATTGGCTTCCCATAGGATTTCATAGGCAATTTGTATTTTGCACCAGGTTCCATTTCATCCTTTCTTAATAAACTTTAAGTTATCAACAGTGCACGATAAAATGTAATTTAGTCATTTCTCAAATTAACGTAGGTAGGTGGTGGGCCAACCTAGACCTGGAAGAAAAGTCAATCTCCCTAATAAAAGTGGAATTGATAAGCTGGTAAAATGACTAAATTTTTTCTTGAATATTTTCTTTTCTGTCACATTAATTGTCTTTTTAACATTTCACAAAGAAACTTTATTGCAGTGCATGATTCATCAATAGAGAAGTCTAACAAGCAATCTGAGATCTTTTTTTTTTTTTTAATGTTTCTTATTCAGGACAAGGGGTTTACATGTTAATATACTTGTGTAATTAATTGAAGGGTGAAATATTATATAACTAATACCAGTTATACCAGGACCATTTAAGCAACCCATTTTTAACTAACATACTCCCATATGTATACTAACATGAATATCACAGTTTATTTTGTGGTATATTGGCACTAGTATTATAACCTGGGGAAAAGTATTTATGATTATGCTTGAATACAGGATTTTCATTTTTATCTTTTTTTCTCATTTGGTCTAAAGAAAGTATAAGCTATGTATTCAGGAATTTCAGTTTTTACAACTTAAACCTATTTTATTATTCGTTAGACTGGGAAGGATTTAGACTAACTTCTGTGTTTTATTGGTATTTTTTTGCTTTTTATGCAAATTTTGCAAAGAAATTGGTTAAATATGCTGTGATTCTTGGACAAGCACGTATATCATCTTGTTATCATTATAATTTGAATACAGAAAAGTCAACCTTGCTAAGAGGGAAAATATAGCCGACAAACTACATTTAGCACATACTGGATATTTGATTTAAAAAATACAGTGTATGATAGACCTCGATATAGCAAAAGAATTGATTTTCCTGGAAATATTAGCAATTTTGCCTTTACTTTTAAGGAATTCTGTGAACAGGTTTGGATTTGGTATACTAAGGTGAAGTGTTGAAATCACCAGGGAAGTTAAAAGTTTGCTTAATAAAGGTCTAACACTGAATTGGATATTACCATCTCTGTATGTTTTTTTTTTTTTTTTAAGTTCAGAACTTTTGTGACAAAAGTGGGGATCATGTTATTCAGATCTTTGTTACTAGTAATCTGTAAGATGTACTAAGCTGAAGATGGTTTTATGTACATTGGAAGATGTCAGTCTGAGTGGTACTTGACTGTAATGCCGTGTTGTACTGAAACTGTTTCTTGTGGTACAGTAAATATTTCACAAATGTGTAATGTTTCATTTTGATATTTTTATATTTATGTGATAACTTTAAGGATGAAATTACATTTTTAAACAAAGTAGCACAAACATAAGCACTATTTGTATATAAAGTTTACAAAGGTTACCTTATTTGCTGTTAATAAATTACTTGCACTTGATGTGTTTTGATTTATTTTGATTCAACACAAGAATTTTACTAAACTTTTATTTTCACAGTAATGTGGGACTTTTTATGCAAGGCTAGTGATATTCATTTCTGATAATTACCCTTTCACTCTTATAAAGCAACAGACGTACACTTTCAAAAACTCTATGAGTTCATGATACAAGTCCATGAGAACAGGCAGGATGTGATGTCCCTTTAATTAAGACCCCAGTCTATATCTAATGTTTTTATATCTAATATTGTGAATCTCTATAGGGAAGACAAGTTGACAGTTTGTAGACAGTGACATAAAACCTCACCTTGCTTTGACCTGTAGCTTCATGCCAATTTTCATTTTTGAAATATTGTTTGCACAATATCTTGTAGCTAATGTCTTCTTACTAACCGATAATTAGTTCAATTTTAACAAATGGATTGTACAATAGCTTTTATTGTTAGGTCAACAATGAAAAAGCACTTTTGAAACTGACTTTTTGAATATTTTTGAAGCTTTTAATGTTGTTGCTACAACTTAAGTCAGGCATTTTTCAATTTCATTTTGCAAAAGCCGATTCTAAAGAAATGATGTTTTCAATTTAAGAAAAAAAAAAACCCACTGTAACCATTATGATTCCATACTAATACATTATTTATCTTCTTATCTTTTAGGATGCGAGTATATCGAAGTCTTTAGGGGTGTTTGACACTGTTCTTTGACCAAGACTTAACATTTCCAACCCTTTTGAACTGACCATGTCACTGTCAGCACTGCAGTGAGGCACTACTAACACACATACTGTCAATGCAGTCACAATGATGGCAATGTTATCAATTAATAATAATAACAACTGTCATCATTATCACCAAAGTGTAACCCCCTGTCTCATAACATAATACCCAGACCTGGGTTCACCTGTGCTCATTTGCTGCTTCCCTGGACACTGGCAGCTTAAGGAAGAATGTACAGTATATCCTATTGACTTGTGCAGCAAATGTGACATTCAACTTCTGATGGCCTGGTATCTACTAATACCCTGGCCACCCTGAAGAGCTGTCATCAGAAAGTGAATAGTTGGAGTCCAGGAGGCCACTAGGAAAACATTAGATTACCAGGGTGCAGCTCCAGGAGACTGAAACCCATTTCATTTGATTGATCAAAGAGGAAGGGATGCTATCGCAGTTCACCAGCATTTAGAATGTGTGGGATGAGCACATTCAGGTGGTCATGTATTGATGAGGTATTCTTTGTTATCTGGTGATTGCAAAAAAGAAAAAAAAAAAAAAGCACGTACATGCCCTTGCTAAATGACAAATTACAGAAGATGGCGATTCTCAGGTGGAGATCAGTCAACTGACCTTATATAAATTTAGATGTTGATTGATTTAACCAGGTAATTTTCTTCTTGGAGACATACTGTAAAATTCCCACATCAAAAGAAAAAAGGAAAAAAATTGCTCCATCTTACAAGAAACCATGTAAATAAAACCAGTATGTCATCGTTAGCACAGGTGATTAATTATGATAGTGTAATTTATATAATTGATTTATATTTCCTTACTTATTTATGAAACCGAAATTAATAAGCTTTGTCATGCAATCCACAGGTTAAATAGTAATGAAAGCATTTTTTTAAATGTAAGAAGTAGCTAATGCTACTGGTCATTGTGAGGAATGAATTGTTAAACAGATATTACTTAACCTGTCTGGCAACTTTGCTCTTTGAGAAGATAAATTCAATATTTTGACCTGTTCTGGTGATCTCTGACACCACTTTCTCTTGTGTACAGACACTTACTGTGTAAGTGTGCTGAAATATTCACATTTGAATCAATGGAGCATTGTAATACGAAAGACCTTTACATCACTCTTGACATTTATTTGGTGTTTGTATCAGACATGGCAATAAAAGTACATGTACAGATGCTGTAGGGGTTCAAAGTAGCCAAATGTGTAACAGCATTGTGTTCAAGTTGGTGCATTTGAAAAAGGTAGGTAGGTTGAGAGAATGATTGCATCTTACCAATCTTCTCTACCACAGTGACTTCAAGCAGGAGTGCATTCTTCTGGTGGATGTGTTCCTACACTGTATATAGATAAAGAGTTTGGACAGTTAATACCAGATACTTAAGTCACCAACATAGTCTTGGATACTCATAAGTGCTGTTATCCTTTGCTCATACAGACATGTACTTAAACACTAGGATCCTAGTATTTAACAGACGTATGCTTTAATCACCATTATAGTATTTATGCTAATGAGAGTTTGTTTTAAGAAATTTAAAACTTGACCTCTTTTTAATATTTAAACTTTTTTGTTCCTTTAGTATGGTTTGAAATATTACCAAGTATAAATTATATATATAGCATATTCCTAGAAATTAACAGTATTTAATTTTGTTTGTTTGAATATCTCTGTTTTTAATAGAATGAGATCTACTTGGAAGTGAAGGCTCAAGGCATATTGAATCTCCTAGAAAAGAGATGGATGTAATCAATATAAAATTAATACTGAAACATCTCGGGCACCCACACAATACTCCTTTTCATGGTTTAAAATATTACCTTCCTCTACCTCAGACAAAGAATGGGGGTGAAGTACAACAAAGGCTCCATTGCCGCTCAAAGATAATTGTGTCTTGAACAAAAATTTATTGAGATCACTAAAAGAAAAAAGTACGCAAGTAGAACAATAAAGGTAATTATTGTGCTACTTTTGAAATTCCTGTAACACTGGTTGCATGCTCTGCACGTAAAAGAGGAAATAATGGTGCAGTGAACTAGTGTGTTTCATTCTAATAAGCAGTAAGCCACAGCTTCCAATTATGAAGGTGCTACACAGTGTATGGGTAAATAATGCAATATTAATGTGTACAAAGTCAAAGAAACTCATTATTAGTAGTATCACTGAAATTGTGATGATTCTCATTAATTTTTAAAGAATGAAGTGTTCCAATATTTACATGAATATAATAAATGTGGTTTTCTTTCTGTTTTGTCGTCATCATGTAGGCTTAAGAAATTTAATATTAGCATTGGTTAGAAAAAGCTTCTTTGTGGTACAAATTCAACCTTATTTTTGGCTTTTTATTCTACAATTATGAATGTTAAAAATGTAGATATGCTAAGTTCATACCAAGCTCATCCATGCATTATAGTTGTAGTGTACACTATTTTAAATTATGTATATAGAAACATAATACATGTACCAATGGTGCAACTGCAGAATTCTTGCTTTTATTAGAATGTCAGAGGAAATAATCCCCATATTTTTCAGGTATTAGATAGACAATGAATTCACACTGGCTTTTCAACTAATGTGTTTTATGAAAACTGTGATTCTCTTGAACACCACTATTATTGTCTGGTTCATTTTTTCCAGTTTTGACAAGTTTGTAAACTTACTAATATCATTTCACACCAGCTCACCGTGTAGTTGTTTGTACTGGACATTAATAAACCAAAATATCTTTAAAGTTTACATGTTTCCTGTCTTCATTTACAAAGATGACTTTTTTTTACTCAATGCTATTGTGCTTTTATTCCATTTCTTTTTTTTAATTAAATATTTCTATGCCTTTGATTTAAAAATGGAACATCAAAGATATGGAAACTATACATTTAATGATAGAAGCAACCAGGAAACAAGTACTTTTGAATAGCACTGTTCAACTCTGCTGTTGATGTATGTCATTTCATTTGAGTTCTGATCCCAGATGATGCAATCTGAAATAACACAACCTAAATATACTTGGGCATACGTGTCGCTAGTTAAACGCATAAAAAATCCCAAGCCAGCAAACATTAATAGGGCTTGAAGCGCTTCCGAAAAGGTGGTAAAGGAAAAGCATATTCCTTTGATTTAGTTTCAGTTGTGAGAAAAATACTTAATTTTGTGGGAATATAACCTGTTACATTTGATTCTTTTCTTGAACTCCTTCCCCCCCCCCCCCCCCCCAAATCCGCCACTGCTTTTATGTCAGAAGAAAAACTGGCCATTTACCTAAAAAGTTACAAAATGCAAAGATTAACCACCATTCTTATTTTTGGCCCTTTATTTTGTAGTTCAAGTATTTACTTGTTTACAAAGCCATTTGAATCGATACCATCTATTTGATCTTTATAAATGTGTAAAATAGCATCAGGCTTGTAATTGAGCCTCTTCTCTGACATGTAGGTACATGTATTTCTTTACTTCTATCAGTGGCATTTGTTCCTAAAAGGGGAGGGGACACAAAAACGAAACAGTTTGTAAAGCATACATAGATAATTTTACTACAATGTGTAAGGCCCAGGAATAAAAAAAAACAACATAGTCTCACTTCAATCCAATGCATTCTTTGTGTGTGTGTGCATTTGCCTATTACTAGCAATGAATACAAACTAGGCAATATGACACTAGAAAGCCTTAAACTTCATTAAACATAACAAAAATCAAATGCAGAATTAACAGACACTCTATTTATTGTTTATTTCCAAATGCTTTTATTGCAGATTGGTGCAGATCATCTAATAAATATGCAATTAAAACTCTCCAATAACTTCATTCTGGATTAATTTATTTTTTCTACATCCCAGGAACAAATCTATAATGAATGAGGGAAACTGCCCACCTTTGTAACAAATGTTATAACAAAAATATACAATTAAACGTCAATACTTTCATTTTATTGCTCTTTACTGAACATGAAATGTGGAACAACCAGTAAGGAATAAAGCAAGCATACTTTGAAACCGTTTGGTATAATCTCAGGTAACTATCCACTTCGATTTTAAGTTCATTTTGATTTAGAGATTAAAAGGTACTTGTGTAAATTGCTTAACCACACTTGAGAAAATCGGAAAAGCATTGACATGCAACACCCGAGGAATGACTGTGTGCACCCAGCATTCTTCAGGAGGAAAAGGATTAGAATTAGTAAGGGTAATGGAAAGGACTTAGATTATGATTTTCTCAAATGCCATGCTAAACAATTCCCCTGTCAGAGGCAAATATTTTTGAAAATTTTCATTCCAAACGATTAGCCGAAATGTGGACTATAATTATACTGTAGGCAATACCAAGGTCGCTCATCATCTTCTATGTCTTGTAAAAGGAAATAAAACTAGATTAGATTAGATTTTAATTCAGTTTACCTATCTGATCCAAAAAATGAAATTTACTAACCTTAAATTCTTGATCCAAAGAGTAGTCAATGCTTGATGGTAGGGTGGTAGGCATTCATCATCTTCTATGACCTGTAAAAGAAATAGGAATGAGGTTAGATCTTTTTAATTTACCTCTCCCCCCATCCTCTCCCTCCCTCCCCCAAATAAAAAGTTTACTAACCTAAACTTCTATCGATGTGTGAAGTCTATGTCTGAGTAGAGTCTCTCATCGTCTTCTATGTTGTGTAAAAGAAATAAAACAAGATTAGATAAGATTTTAATTCAATTTACCTATCCGATCCAAAAAATGAAATTTACTAACCTTAAATTCTTGATCCAAAGAGTAGTCAATGCTTGATGGTAGGCTGGTAGGCATTCATCATCTTCTATGTCCTGTAAAAGAAATAGAAATAAGGTTACATCTTTTTATGTACAGACACAGATGTGTCTGTGTCAGCCATCATCTGCTTCTGTCGTCGCCGTCGTCGCCGTCGGCGCCGTCGTCGCCGTCGTGCACTTTTACCGATAACACGATAAGTGGAACACCGTTTTTGCTTTTGGCTTGAAACTTACAGAACTGGTGAATATTCCTAATACGCAGGTCAAGTTCGAAAATCAGCATGATCGGGCCATTTTTAGGGAAGTTATGCTGTTTTTTCACTTTTTTCAGCATATATGCAGCACCGATAACCCGATAAGTGGAAAACCATTTTACTTTTTGGCTTGAAACTTACAAAACTGATGAATATTCATAATCCGCAGGTTAAGTTCGAAAATCAGCATGATCGGGTCATTTTTAGGGAAGTTACGCTGTTTTTTCACTTTTCTCAGCATATATGCAACACCGATAACACGATAAGTGAAATAACATTTTACCTTTTGGCTTGAAACTAACAGAAATGATGGATATTCATAATACGCAGGTCAAGTTCGAAAATCAGCATGATCGGGCCTTTATTTTAGAAGTTATGCTGTTTTTTCACATTTCCTCAGATTCAATTATTAGGCATGTTAACAGTCTCATTATTTAACTAATAAGATACGTAAAAGTGTTTGTTTGATATTTCCTGCATCTTTACAACATTGTTAATTGATTGTGTAAAAATGATGGTAAACTTGTTATCGTGTATTGTGAAATAAAGTGTCAAAAACGGTAATAAACTCA